TCTGTTCAACATGTATGCAGAACATATTATAAGAAAAATAGGCTTAGATACAGAAGAAGAAGGAGTGAAAATAGAAATATCAACAATCTAAGATATGGAGACGACACCATAGTGCTAGCAGAAAACCTCACAGACCTGGAACACCTACTAAGGAAGATCAAAGAAGAAAATGCAAAGTCAGGCTTAATGTTGAACATAAAGAAAACAAAAATAATGACCACCAAGGACCTTCACAACTTCAACATAAACAATGAAGAAATAGAAATAGTAAAAGAATTCTCATACATTCTATCAAACATTGATAGAAATGGGGACTGCAGTCAGGAAATCAGAAGACGACTAAGAATGGGGAGGGTGGCTATGAAAGAACTAGAAAAGAGTCTAAAATGCAAAGAAATACAACTCAGCACAAAAGTTAGAATCATACAAGCCATCGTATTCCCTATTACCATGTATGGATGTGAGAGCTGGACAACTAAGAAAGATTATAAGAAGAAGATCAATGCATTTGAGATGTGGTGTTGGAGTACTGAGGACCCCATGGACAGCCAAAAGGACAAACAAATGGGTCCTAGAGCAGATTAAGCCTGAAAGTTCCCTGGAAGCCAAGATGACCAAACTGAGACTGTTGTACTTTGGACACATCATGAGAAGAGAGGACTCTTTGGAAAAAAACAATCATGCTGGGAAAAGTGGAGGGAAGTAAGAAGCAAGGAAGGCCACATGCTAGATGGATGGACTCTATTAAGGAGATCACTATGGGTATTAAGGGGTTGCAGGAATTAAGCAGAGCAGTGGAGGACAGAGGGTCTTTGAGATGTCTCATCCATAGGGCTGCCATGAGTTGAGACTGACTGGAGGGCAGGTAACAACAAAAAATTGATAATTCAAAACTATCTGAACAGCTTCACCCCAGGCTTGTTTACCCTAGGATTTGATTTAAGTTATACAGAACTTAATTCATCTATCTGCAGAATATCATGGATCACACGTCCATTTATAATGAACAGATAATAAAATAAGGGGATATTTAGCAATTGCCAATGGAGGGTCTCTTTTTCTATTTTCTGAATTTCAATTTAGAATAATCCTTTTACATTTCTAAACAATTCTCTGTGTCTACACAAAGAAAGTTAATTCTTTTACGCAGTAGCTTTTGAAAATAATGTATTTTTTCTACATTTACAAATCTGAAGCTGAAAAATATAATTTTTCCCTGTAGCAGATGCATATGGCAACAGCTGCCCTCCCTGCTTTGTGTTTAAAAACAAAACAAAACAAAAAAACTAAACTAAAACAGGAAGCTGATGCTGATCACATATGGCAATACTGAAGAAATCTTGCCCTGGAGGTGACCTCTTTTCCCCCCCCATCAAGCCTCTCATAATACATGTGGTAGAGAACAAGGGTGGAGCTCTCTCTGAACCTAAAAACCACTATTAAAAATGCTAAAAGCATGGCTGTTTGTACTCCACACTGGAAAAGTCTACATTCTGACATCTGAGGCAGGAAGATTTGAGTGTTGTATACTGAGCATTAAGCATTAAGTATTAAGCAACTTGGTTTCTAAAGAGAAAAGCAGGAACATTACTCTCTCTCTCTCTCTGTCTTCAAGTTGCTTGTCAACTTATGGCTACCCCGTGAATTCCATAGGCTTTCCTTAGACAAGGAATACTTGAATGTTGTTTGCCATGAACATCTTCTGAAATACAGCCTCCAGAACCTGGTATTCATTGGTAGTCTCACATTCAAGTAATAACCAAGGCTGATGCTGGTTAGCCTCTAAGATCAGATGGGATCTGGCATCTTTAGGGTATTAGGCCACATCTCCCTAAAAAGAGAGTCCCATAGGAATTAAGATAGGTTGACTTTCCCTTTTAAACAATGGGTGAAAATTGATTGGGGCATTTATAGACACACTGGTATCACAGAAAATGAAATGCAGAAAAGGTGAAATGCTCTCATGGTATCAAGAAGCTGTCTTGAAGTTCTGACATATGTCACATCTTAATATCCTTGTACTTTGCCACTTTAGGATTTGTCTCTCCTGGACAGCAATTGTTTGAGTGAGTTCCTGGATCTCTTACTTTATAATACTGAAGGAAAAGGCCTTAAAGGATTTAGATTTGGTTATATCTGAAGTATCAACAGCAGCAGCAACAAATACAGGATGGCCTGAGTAGATTATTTCAGCTATCAGAAAAGATAATTTGAGTTTCTGATTTCAATATTTTTTAAAAAAGCTGTACAATGGAAAGCAGTTATGTTGCTGGCTTGCTGTGATAATTCTGTGATATTTAATCTGACAATAGCCTAAAGTATTTACTGGACATGTCCAATGCATGGCAATAGTTTGTGGAAAAGGGAGTACATATCAGTAATGTATTCTACAATATAAAGAGGAAAAAGAGGTTAAACTGCATACTCATCTCAAGTTCATACATTTTTTAGCAAAAATCGAGGTAGTTTTTCACCTAATCTTAATTCAGAAAATTTAGCATTTTAAATTATTTGAATTTATTAACTGATATTATTTAAAAAACCCAGATACAATCAGATTAGATTTATTTAACAAATACTTGAGACCCAGCATGGTATAGTGGTTAGTGTTGGACTATGACTCTGGGGACCAGGGTTCAAATCCCAGCTCAGTCATGTAAACTCACTGGGTGACCATGGGCAAATCACACTCTCTCAGCCTAAGAGGATAGCAGTGGCAAACCCCATCTGAAGAAACATGCCAAGAAACCCCTGTGATAGGGTCACCTTAGGGTTGCCCTAAGTCTTGAAGGCACACAACAACAAATACTTTTTAATACAATTGCTTTGCTAGAATTTCAGAAGTGGGGGAGCGTAGAGAATATATGGGAAGTTTATGTAATTATCAAGTTTAGTGTTGGACTTACTTTAAAAAACTTGCTGGCATTATGATAAAGCATATCCAGTGGACGGTGAGAGAGAAAGGAGGCAGCAGAGGGGCCTTCAGTCAAATTATTGATGTGCAAAAAAGATAAGGGAAACCACAGACTTTAGGACCATAGTGGGGATGAGGAATACAATAAATTTCTTTTCAGGGTCCCTTAAATCCACAGAGCCTCGCTGATCACTTTGTGTGATAGTGACTCCCACTATTCACCAGCCCAGGTGAGCTCACTCCTTTAGCTGTGTCTCTCACTAGTAACGGCAGTTTGGAAACTCTTGTGAGGCTTGGGTGTATGGCATTGCTTCTGTGGTTGGAGCGGCATAATTTTGGCACAGACTAACAGACCAGAGGAAGGAGTCACAGCACGTGGTGGCAGGGGAGAAGTGGTGGCAAAAAGGACCCTGCTTTCAAATTTGGGACTCTGCTTAAGCTTTGTGAGTTTTTCTGGAACTTGGTTGACAAGCTGCAGCAGTGCTGCTGTTCCTGCTTTCTTTCATTGGCCAGACAGAGAGAAAAGGCAGCAGAAGCACAAACGTTGGGGGAAGATGTGTGCAGAAGACATGTCTCTGGGAGAAGAAGAGGGAGGAGTACCCAGGGTCAGTTCTTGGAAAGAGTCCTTTACCTTGGAGTAGCTCCTGTAGTTAAAATCTCTTCCTAGTCTCCAGTCCAGAGCATGTAGCCTCGGTACACCTCTTACACACACATTGACCGCACTCTCTCAGCTCCGATAAAGAAGGATTGAGAGTCGTTCCTTGCTGAGAGTCGTTCTCTCTTTGCACCAGGTCACCCTGGAGCAACAACCAAGCAACTGGCTGAACAGTGACCAGCCTCTTGCCCGCACTGGCCTTTTCCACAAGGCTTCCCACTTGCTGCTCAGCTAGTTGCTGCTCCCAAGGTGACTGGGTTCAAAGGGAGCAGTGACAAAGATTGGCTATTTTGAATCTGAAATAAAACAGTAGATCTAATATCAAGAAATTTGTGATGGGGAGGGGGTCACTAGGGTTGTAGACCAAGAGGAAAGGGGGCACTAACCTGAAAAAACTTGGGGACCACTGATCTACAGGATCAAGATTTGGTAAGCACTGCCTCTGTCCCATTATGGGTTAAGTCAGGGGTAGGCAATCTAAGGCCCGGGGGCTGGATGCGCCCCCCCCCCGAGGCCTTTGGACCGGCCCCAGGCTGGTCCTGCCGCCGCTGCCGCCCTGCCGCCGCCCACCATGATGATATTGATTATTGTTATTACTTGTTCTTGGGGTTTTCTTGGCAAAATCTTCACAGGGGTTTTGCCATGGCTTTTCTGGGGCTGAGAAAGTGTGCATGTTTTTTAATTTTTTAAAAATTTTATTTATTTATTTATTTATTTATTGTGCTTTGGCCCCCCCAATTGTCTAAGGGGCAGCAACCCGGCCCCCGGCTCAAAAAGGCTGCCTACTCCTGGGTTAAGAGGTATGTGGGGGAAGATAAAAGGATGATGACAGGACATTTAGAGACCAGAACTTTGCTGCTTTCCAGTTACACACACTACTCCAAACTGGGAAGGGTATGAGCCATGGTGTGTGCTACAGGTGGTGTCCAGGGTTCTGTAGTGCTCCTGGGCAATACACTGTTGACTTTAACTATATAGCATTCACAGATCTGCTTCTTCCCACATCATTCCACCCTCATTCCCAGGAAGCATATATGCACAAATGCTTGAGATGTATAGGGAACTGTTATAGGAAACAGAGGATCTATTCATTTCCAGTATCCCAACCCAACCATGCCCCTCTGCTTGGTCAAAGCTTCCCATACTTGCCATGCTACCTGTATACTTGGGGGGGGGGGAGAGAGAAGGCTCTCACATGTTGTGAGGATTCATCTGTAAACAGGTGCTGAAAACCATTGGATGTAGCCATTTGTATTTTCTACGAGTATTTTGGACATTCATAGGTTTCATGTGTTTACATTTTAAAAGACTATTTAATATCTTCTCTTCATTACTATAGCAACACAGAAATGGCTGACCTGCCACTGCGACCCCTTTTCAAATCATGCTCCTAATACATATTCACATTACAACATAACTCCACAGATAAGGCTATACTTTAATCTGATTGCTGTCAACAAGGTGTCTGACTTGGTATTCAATGCTCAGTTTTACAGAAAGCTTCTCACACACACCGATACATACACTGACAGAACTGATGTTTTCGGATGGAAAATCTTTTCCAAAGCAAATTACTTTTGTTTTAAAACAAGGATCTGCCCTTTATTTCCCAACCACCACCCACTCTTCCAAATAAACAAGTGAGCTGATGTTGCATAGGAATTTTAATTGTTTCCATAACTCTAAATGTCTGCCAAAAAGTACTTAATATGAGATAGCTTAGAGAGGACACACAAAATCTGTGCATGTGATTGTGTAATGAATGAAAGAACATTAAACTTGTGCCTCTGCAAATCTTATGTAGGAAGAAAAGAAACACACCCAAAACATGTGGAACATTGCTGAAGACATTTGTCATTGGATTTAGGCTCAATTTTTCTTACCCTGATTGTTGGTGCTCTAATTACAAGTAAAGAGCGATCATTTGGGCAAAGGGTAACTGGAATGAAAGTGTGAATTATCAGAGTTGTGAACTGAGGTAGCCTCCTCCAAGTACAGTATTCCTATCATAATAGCTTATGGAATAACAGACAAAAAAGGTTTTTTTTTTCCTAATTGTCAGATACTCGTAAACAGTTTATAAGAAGTGACGAGGACAACTGAGGTTTAATGCTAAACAAAATCTGCAGTGCACCAAGATGTAAAATCGTGAACAGAACAAAAGATTAAATACACCTAAAGTCAACAGGGCCTAAATACCCTAAAGGAACCAGGTCCCATCTGATCTTGGCAGCTCAGTCAAGTTAGCTCTGATTACTACTTAGATGAGAGACCACCAACTAATATCAGATGGTAGGATATATTTCAGAGGAAGGAACTGGCAAAACCACCTCTGAGTAT